CTGGGCCTCCCTTCTGAAGCTGCTGCCCCTGCGACCCGACCCCGGATAGGCGGAAGAAAATGGATGGATGGATGGATGGTCCATTTAATTACAAGATATAATAATGCTGTTGATCTGTGTTTGTTTTTGCATTACTTGAAATAAGATTGAAGACAGCTGTTGATCTTCGACTTCCTAAACTGTTCATTTATCCCTCCCTCTGTTTGTTTTCTTCCACTTATCTGGGGTTGGGTCGCGGGTGCAGCAGCCTAAGCAGAGAGACTTAGACTTCCCTCTCCCCAGCCACTTGAGCCAGCTTCTCTGGGGGAATCCCAAGGCATTCCACAGCCAGCCAAGAAACATAGTCCCTCCAGTGTATCCTAGATCTTTCTCTGGACCTCCTCCCAGTGAGACGTGCCTGGAACACCTCACCAGGAAGGTGTCCAGGAGGCACCCTAAGGCCGGCGTCACACTACAAGCAAATCATGCCGATTTTTGCCCTTCCGACAATCTTAAGGAAGTCCAGATTATCGTGAGGGCTCTAAAGATAATCATGGCAGATATTCCCGCCGTGGGTGGTGAGTTAAGAGTGATCTAGTTGGCTCGGAAGGACGTCGGGACCGCTCCGACCTCAAATCGGGGATATTCAACATACAGTATTTGATTTTTTAGGCCCGATATCACAGTGTGTGAAGTGTTCACCCGAGCTCTCAGCCTGTTGAATGAGACGTGTAGCTAATCAGAAAGCGAGGTGATGTAAACACAAACGGGAATCCAAATACAGAAGACAAAAAAAAAACTGTCATAACTCACCAGAAAGTCTGCTGGATGTTAAAAGTCCTATGGAATTGTTTTTCCTCTGGTAAAAACAGTCCACAAACGATCAACATTGTGTCTTCCTTTTTGCAGATGTTTATTTACTCTGAACTCACATCTCTCTGGTCACGTGACATTTTCCTCGGACATCTGAATTCTCGCGTGATTTTAGGAAGTCTCGCGTGATTTAATATATGACATCTGAATCATGAATGAAATATCTTTTCGTTTGTGGTGTGTTGTCGCTTGCTGTGTAACTGTACACCACACACTGTAGGACCAAACCTGGTAGATCCATAATTTTTTATCCTCACATGTGGGCTCTCTCAGTCTTTGAAAATCGGCCGACTGGTTTAAAATCTTGTAGTGTGACTCAGCCTTAACCAGATGCCCGAGCCACCTCAACTGGCTCCTCTCAACATGGAGGAGCAGTGACTCTACTCTGAGTCCCTCCCGGATGACTGAGCTTCTCACCCTATCTCTAAGGAAGAACCCAGACACCCTACGGAGGAAACTCATTTCGGCTGCTTGTATCCATGATCGTCCTTTCTGTCAATACCCAAAGCTCGTAATCATAGTTGAGGGTTGGAACATAGACCTTCTTCATCAGACTGTCATAGAAAAACAGCGTGTTTTCAGACGGAGGCTTCTTCAATTTTGTTGTAATACAGACCACTAAAGAAGATGTTTCCTGCCCACAGCCATCGCCATCTACAATGTCTTTCATTAAATGAGTTACAACACCTAATTTCCCTCTGGGATTAATAACGTATTTTTGAATTGAACTGAACTGAATTTCAAAAGCTGGTGTCTGGACATACAAAAATGGATTATCTCAAAAACTATTCCACATAAGAAATACATATTTTTTTTGTTGTTTATCTCTGATGAAGGGCTATCAATATATGTTTATATGCAACTCCCAAAAGCAGTAGGCAAAAGAATCAAATTACATGACTGAAAAATGTTTTTTCCAGCCTGTACATCTAGAAACATGATCAAATCTTGATGATGTTTGCCACAGATGTTGACCTATCTGACCTTATTGATAGGCATTTTCCTGGCGGCCATCTTTGTAGTTCTTTATTTTTTAGTCCCTCATTTTATGGTTATCTTCAGTGGGATGGACCCTAAAAGTTAATCAGTACAAGATACTACTTCACTTATAATTTTCTGAGAGTTTCATTATGATCTTGTCATTAGTTCATGAGATATCTTGTTAACAGTAATAAACACAAGGTGTCTCTAAGTTAAGTCAGTGTAAACAACTTCGGGACAAATCAGAGAAGCATTCCATCCCAGTGAGATAAGAGCCATAAATCAGGAGAAGCCCAGCTGCTTGAGAAAGTAACCGAGCAGAGCACTATTCGTTGACTGAGTATAAAAAGGTTTTGACTACAGAAAATAGATTCAGCAGGCTGGGGTGATGGACACATACTGTCTCCAGATGATGTTGGCTCAAGATTTTCCTGCCGTTTCTCTGAGCTCTTATACATTGTTTGTAGTGGTCTTGTTTCAGTATCTGGTTTGTAATAAATTCATTTAAAACTATTTTTAATTTCCAGTTCAATTTTCTCAGTTTAACGGTTTTCAGACAAAAGAACTTGGCGAGATCGAAGGTGAGCCAAAGACAAAAATCCTGATCTCAATAACTAGCCTGGTTTAAACCAGACCCTGTCCTTCACTTTGCTTCGTACAAGGGTCTGGACTTGATGCATAGAGAATCGATTTCTTACAGGAGGCGTGGCATCTGCTGAAGTTTAAAATGATTGGATCAGTTGGCTGCGACGTATGTYGCTGTGACGGAGGCTAAGCTAAGAAGCTAACCGGAAAATGCGTGTGCTGTAAACAACCCTACTGAGAGGAGAGAAGTACCGGGCCGAACGAGACGACTGTAAATGAG